AGGGAGCTGTAGCTGCTTTTATTTTCACCTAAGCCACATTGCCGCTTAGTAAGAAGTTATCCCACAGGAACTAGAAGCCATAGAACAGCAGGAAGGTAGGAAAGGAGACCGTGTGCTCTGCATTCAGGCAGGCTATTGGATCACTTTGCAGTCCTAAACCAATGGGCAATATCTCTGTGACTCAGTCTTGTTTATCTGAACATGAAGATAGATCTGCAGTGTCATTGGAGGATTCACTGAGATCAAAGAAGCCAAATTGACCAGCAAAGTCTCTAGTTTAGACAACTATTTCCTGAGTGCCTACCATATGCCTGGCCCTGCACAGTGAACAAGCATTCTGGTATGTGGAGGATGCAAAAACTCAATCAGTCAAAAGAATATTAGGGCACAGCAGGGACTGCTGGAGACTGGGAGTAGGCACTTACAAGAGGAACACCAGTGGCTGCTTTAGATTAGGTGGTCGGATGGACAAAGCTCCTGTTGGGCAGGGACACTTCAGTTGAAAAATGAAAAACAGGAAGCAGACCAGGTGTAGCATAGGGGAGCATCCCAGACAAAAATGACAACCAGTATTATATCATAGCTAAAGAAACAGTACACTCAAAAAAAAAAAAAAACCAATAAAAACAACAACAACAAAAAAAACCCTTATACTAGTGCCCAGGAAGGGCAGGGAATTTCTTAGGAGGAAGAGAATAGGAAGGAATTCTACAGCACACCTACTGTAAGCCAGGATCTGCTCTATAGATTCTCCATATACCGTCTTCTGCTTCCCAACAGGATGATCAGAGGTAGAAGTTCCTAAAGGAAGTCCTTGGGAGTTTGAAAGGGGGAAAAACAGAAGTAATGTCTTTGTAACAGCTGCGTGAAAATGGTTACTGGAGGTGCCCGCCAACTTTAGGAGTAAGTGTGGCCAGGGAGGAAGGAGGCAGAGACCCACCCTTAGGAAGGCGGAAGCCCTTAATTGTGGGTTGCTGTGCACAGGCCACTTCAAATACAAAGGCATGTGTCCAGAATGAAGAACCAATGCTGTCCACAGCAGAGATGCAGTTGAGGGCTTATCAAAGAGAGTGCTGGCTACTCCAGAGGGACCTCGCAGAAAGCAGAGAGCATCCCACTTTCATAAAGCAAAAAGGGGACAGTGATCTGGCAGTTAAAGCAGCATACTCAGGACTGGAAATAGAGAAAAGAAGGACTGGGGCTCCAGCCACCTCCTTCCTGAGACACTTCCCATGAAGGTGGGTGCAAAAGGAGTTAATGATGCATGGAAAAGTTACTTCTATTTTAATAGTTAATGAATTTTCATTGTGGTAAATATGTATCACACCAAATTTGCCATTTTAATCATTTTTAGGTGGGTGGTCAGTAGTGTTGAGTACATTCACAATGGTGGGCCACCACACCACCACCCATTTCTAGGACCGCTTCTCTCACCAAACTGAAACTCCCTACTAAACGCCTATCCCCATTCCCCTGGCCATAGCCCTGGCACTCACCCTGCTACTGTTTGCCCACAGTGCCCAATGCAATCGGACTCAAAGATCTTTTTATGGATAGCTTACTTCACTTAGTCGTCAATGTCCATCCACAAGCCAGCATTTCTTTCCTTTTAAACCCATTAAGTCCCAGTTTTACAATTCTGCCAATATTTCAGTGAAACAGACATTAAAATAGGTTGGAAATCATAATCTAGAAACTATATATTATTTTTTCCATTTTATTGGTGCATCGTGGCCCATATATTATTATACAACAACTTAAGCAATATTATGATTATTAGATGATTACATTCGAATCCTATATATTTTAAAGTTTGTATAGGAGTTCCACATCTGGGACGATGTGACAAAAGGGGGAAAGGCAGAATGGCATTACATCACTGCACGTACTGCACCTTGTGCCCTCACTCATCCACCAGTGGAGCTAGGGTTGCTTCCGTCTTTTGGATAAGGTGGCAAATTCTGTGATGGACATGGGCGTTCCTGTGCTTTCAGTGATTTCTGTATGTACATATGGCTATATGGTGATTTTATATTTGAGGAAACAATTTCAGTAGCAGCTGTAGCACTTCATATTCCTTTCAACACACGAGCATTCCTATTCATATCTGATCCAATACTTTTTGTTATTTTCATTTTCTTTTGATAGCCATCCTAATGGACATGAAGTGGTATGTCAAGATGGTTTTGATATGCACTTCCCTAATAACTGATGATGTCGATCATCTTTTCAGTGCTTACTGGCCATTAACATATCTTCTTTGGGGAAAAGCTATTCTAATTCTTTATTTTTTGTTACTGGTAATTTGTAGGTGTTCTTTAAGTTCTGCACATTAACCCATCATGAGATACATAATTTACAAATATTTTCTTCATTTCATGGGTTACCTTTTCACCAAATATCATTTAATATACAAACATTTTAAAATTATTTATTTTTTTTAGTTGTCAATGAATCTTTTGTTTTATTTATTTATATGTGGTGCTGAGGATTGAACCCAGGACCTCACACATGCCAGGTAAGCACTCTACCAATAATACCAATAAGCCATGACTCCAGCCCTTAAAATTTTTTTTTAATCAAACGTTTTAAATTCTGATGTAGTCCTATTTATCTATTTTTCTTTTATTCACTATTGTTCTGGCATCATATGCAAGAATCCAATGTCATGAAGCTTTTCCTACATTTTCTTCAAATAGATTATATATTCACTTTAACATTTAAATAATGAGCATTTTAAACCATCATTTTATAAATGCTATGCACTATTTTTTAAATTTTCAAAAATTTAAATGTTGAGAATTTAAATTAATATATAACAAACAACAAAGAGAGGTTTAACATACATACCCTTTACAGTGAGCTCCCAAATGAGTGATGTTGGTAAATTGTGTGCTAAGCTAAACTGCATTTCTTATTTTTTAGTGCTGGGGATCAAACTGGGTCTCTGTACAGTAAGGCAAGTGCTCCCTCATTGAGCTACATCCCCAGACTAAGATGCATCCTTCTAAACATACCCACTGCTTTATTGGCTCATAGACTTGAGTTTCTTCCTCTCATTGCCTGGGAAATGGCTCTGAGGATGATTCAAACACCTGCTAGAGAAGAAAGGGTGTTCCAATGGAGTGGCTCATTTGAATATTCCATGCTACCACAGAAACCTAAGTTGTTTACTGTAAAATCTGACCTAAGAGATCAGAGGAGAAAAAGCCAAATCCTATTAATCCAACAAGATTTCATTTGCACCCCTATAAGGAATCTTGAAATGAACCAATCTGCTATTTATGGTGCCTGATTTCCTCCACTTTTGTTGACCTGTAAAACTCATCCACTCTGTCTATCTCATTGGCACCCCTTTCTATTTTACAGACTAGATGCTGCCTAGTTCATGACTTCCTAGTAAGAACGAATTATATCTTTGGAACCTAAAACTTGTTGAAATTTTGTTCTTTCACACATCTGTAAAGTAGCCATAAGGACAAAGGCTGGTGATACTGAAACTGGATAACAAAGCAAGTCATCCAACCTAAAGAGCAAGACAAAACATGTTTTGAAAGTAGAAGGAAGTAGTATAAGTCCACAACAATGCATTAAATCAACTCTGAAATGAAAATGTTCTGAAAATCATGAGGTTTTTTTTCTCCTCCCATGTTTGGAGCAAGCCTGTGTGAACCGATGAGACTATAATCTTTATATATCACAGTCAGGATAAATATTTTGAACAGTCACACATTTTTGCTGTAGAAATGCTTGGTTGTAGGGTCCTAGCCCAGATCCCGTTGAAAGTTTTTATAAAACGCAGAATATATACCTCCCCCTTTAAAAAAAATTCAAACATTTTTGAATTCTAAAAACACATCTGGCCCCAAGGGTTTTTGATACTGGATTGTGAGCCAGCAGTGGCAGTACTGTTTAATAGAGCACTTGTGTCAGACATGCTTCTCCAGTACTTTGTATGTAAACGTCTCCCCTAGTCCTCACCACTCCCTATCAGTCATCATCATCATCTCTTTCAAGGGAGGGAACTGAGTTAGGTTAGCTCCTTAATTTGCTGAAGATCATGTAGCAAGTAGCCTGAGTACGGCTTCATGCATTTCATCAAAACAGGGCTTTGTGACAAATGATGCCTTCCACTGAGCAGAACGGGAAGCTCACTGTGACCCAGACATGCCAATTTGGAGACGGGCAGTCATGTGGTTCGCAAGGCCCTGGGTGCTTTCCCACTTTCCACTGGGGTTGCCCCAGCGGCTCCCGTGGTGCGGCCAGGCTGCAGCAGCTCCGGAAGTTACACTGGGCAACAGCAGAGAAGGCAGATCCACACACCCACCTCCTCCTTTCACAGGAAGGACAGTCCTTCCCAACTCTGCTCGACTGACCTCCTACTTCTCATGGGCCAAAACCAGGTCACAGGTCCCCCGCCAGTGGCTAGCGAAGGAATGCCCCGCTTTAATTCATCGACAGGGCCCTGGCTCTGGGCCCTACGGTGCGGAACCGCCGCGAGCTCGGCGGCGGAGCAGGAGGAAGCGGCGGGCCGGAGTCGGGGCAGCTGGTTACAGCAGGGGTCTAGAGCCTCAGGAGGGAGGACCTGGGCGCCGAAGCAGAGCGGCCCCGCCTCTGGGCCTCGGCTTTCGAGTGCACAGCCCCAGGGTCCCGGCGCCTGCGCCCTCCGGTCTGTAGAGGTGTGGGAAGCTCCCAAACTTATCCACAAGGTGCCACCAAAAGCCGCAACCGCGCCCAGCGTAGCACCCGGCCACGACCTCGGTGGCTCCCAGGGTGCCGGCCAGAGTCCAACTCTGGGAGCCGAGGCGCGTCAACCGGACCTCAACTCCCAGAAACCGCCCGAAATCTCCCATGCGGATTGGCCCGCTGCGCCATCTATCAGTCTACCAACAGCAGGAAGAACTGCTGACGGTGCCCAACGACCAATCACAGGAGAGAGGAGGCGGGCGGCCCACCTGCCGATCCTTAGGCTGTGGTTCAAGTATGGCGGATACTAAACCAATGGGCCGTCGGCGCCCCACAGCTGATTCTATGATCCGGGAAGGTCAAGCCACCCCTCCCCTACGAAACAGCTGCATAGGGCAGACAGGCAGAGCCCCTCGAGCACCTGTCTCCGAAAAGACTGCGGCCTCTGCTACTCCGGCCTGCGGCCCTGGCGGTGTAGGGATTTCGCGCTCCTCGCGGGCCACGCCCTTCAGCCTCCTCATAGGCTCCCCCGGAACACTTGGGAAGGAACCTGGGCGTGGCGAGCCTGGGGCGCGGCCTCCGGGTGGGCCTGAGAGGCCGGCTGACTCGGGCCTGAGGCCGCATGGACAGCCTGGCGCTGGGTCAGTGGCGACGGCGGAAGCCGGAGGAGCTGCCGGTTCCGGGGGACGCGGTGAGCCCCGGGGCCTGGGTGTTAGGAATGGAAAGGCGCGTGCCCTTGGGCTGGCCCCCACCACCCTCGGCTGCGGGCAGAGCACCACCTGTAAGGCAGACTGGCCCTGCGGCCTGCGCCTCACCGGGGCGTGTCTGGGGGCGTGGCCACGCGCGAAACCGCGGCCTCGCTCCGCCTCCCCCCGCGCCTGCGCGGACTCGTGGAGCCCGGCGGCCGCAGACCCGCCAGCTCTCCAGGACCCGACGCCGGCTCTCTAAAATATGCACTGGGGACCCCTCCCACGATCCCGGGTGTTCGGTGTCTAGATCAGCTGGCCTCCCGCTTCCCGCACTCTGGACAGGTCCACGTGCCAGTGCTGCGCGGCTTCAGCCGGGGAGAGCGCGGGCTTGTGTGTGAGAGTGCCGGACTGCAGGGTGCGGCCGGCCGCAGCCCAAGGAGGGCCGGAGAGCCCGGCTCTGTAGCGGGTCGTGAAGGATCCCGGAGGGATGGAGCCTCGTGGCAGAGCTGCGTCTTCCCATCTGCTGGCAAAGGGGGCAGTTATTTTTTGACCTCACTTATTTTGTGGTCCCTTGCTAAGAGCAGCAAGAGCAGCCAAGATACCCAACATTTGCTCTTTTCCTTAGTTATTTCTTTGAGAGCTACAGACTTGATAAGTGCCAGGTCTGTTTTTTCAGATAATGCAGGCAACATTTTTTTCAGACATTTTTGTAGATTATCGAAATTGAGTATGGCGATTGGGGTGTAGCTCCCTAGCCCCGGGCTCACTTCCCAGGCCCCCTTCACATGAGTGACGAGGGGCGCTGGAGTGGTAAAGGGAGTGCTTAATATGTACAAGCCCTTGGGTTCAGTGACTAGCTTTCTACTTGCAGCATCTGTTCCCTCACTAGCCACTCACTACCTGATGTGGAACCAGTGCCACTTATGTTTCTGTCAGCAGCACCCCACCTCCAGGGGCCAGTTATTGTGTTTCCAGGATATATCAGGCTGCGAGCTTCTATTGTGGGTGAAGACAACATGGAGTTCGGTTCTTCTGCACATAACAGTGTGGAGATGAGCCAGTCCACGGTGGTGAAAACCAGGTTCCCTGAATTTAGGTGTAAGGCAGATGGTACCCAGATCCAAGGACATCCAGGTACCTCGAGTCCTTCTCTAACACCATCCCCTGCGTGTCACTGTCACTGTCAGCTGCCTCATCACTGCAGTATTCACACTCCAGACAGTAGGGAAGCAAGTGGTGGAGTCTCAGGATTATAGGACACTTCTAGAGCTTACTGCCACTGCCCTGTGGGAAATGTAGGGTGGGGTCAGAGTGAGGGCTCTCTGCCTGGTGCATCAGACAGCTGGGTGGGGAGAGCAGCCTGCTGTAGTCTTGCTGACAGTGATGGGAGGGCAGTGGGAAGGGTGGAGTCCCCTCTCAGGGTGGCCTTGAGCACCAGGGAGGGCAGTGGTTCCTGTTCTGAGAGAAAGCTGGTGTGGTACTGGGAGAAAATGGAGTTCCTGTTAGGGCAGGCTGGGTTCTCTGTGACTCTGGGACATTTAGTGGTGATATGGCAAATACTGCTAGTCATTGAGCAGTCACCATGTGGATCATCTGGATTTCACAACAACGTTTTATTGTTCCCATACTATAAATGAGAAAACTGAGGTGCGGAGAGCTTCATTAGCTGTCCTCCAGGCCCACAGCAAGCCAGAGTTGGAACTAGGATCTGTCTGTAGAGCTTCTCCTCCTAACCGCTGGGCTACACAGCTTTCTGTGTGGGGATCTTGGAGCTGAAACATGAGGGTTTCACAGTGTTGTCCTAAATTGGCCATCATAAAATGATGAGAAGTGTGATGCTGAGGGCTGTCAGGGACGGGGAGCCAGAGGTCATTATTGATCAGAAAGAACGGAGGAGACTTAATGGAAGAAACCTTGAATGATCTATCAGATTGGAATTGCCGAAATTGAGTGCCAAGGTTGCAACCGCAGTGCTTCCTGACTGTTACCAAAGAATAACGATTTGGGTATCTTAGAGCCATGGTGTGTACTGCTTCTTAATTTGATAAAGTTCTTGTTTATATTGTACTGTGTCCTAGTCTTTGATCTAATAATCCAGATTGAGTTCAATAAAGTATCCGAGTGCTTGTATCAAGTTTTCTGTTCTCTCCAAGTTTTCTTCTCTCTCTCTCTCTCTCTCTCTCTCTCTCTCTCTCACACACACACACACACACACACACACACAATTCTCCAGCATTTGATTTCTGAGGAACTCCAACTATTTTCCTCCTGTTGGCAGCCCAGTGGCTCTATACTGAGTACATATAGCCATGAGCAGAGTCCAGAAAATTGCCTGGCGTGTGATGCCTGGGCAGAGCCTGTCAGGTGCATCCTGGTCCTGGTCGCAGTTTCCTAGCTGAGCAGTCAGCTAGTGTGGTGACTGGCAACTGCGTGTTGGCAGCATTGGATCATTTCCACCTGCAGACATCTTTTGAGCCCCTGTTGTGGCCTGGGTCCTGGGTGGGCACAGGAAGTGTGACGCTTGGCAAGAAGTGTGGAGACCTTTGGAACTCCTGGCGAGATTTCTTACGTAGTACCCGCGCCTGCTCACATCAGTTCCCCTGCTCAGCACACACTTTTTAGAGTGATGGTGCCTGCTTCACACCTGAAGCTCTGTGTCACTCGGCCTTCTACCTCTGTTAGGGCTGTTCTCCAAAAGACCTCTGCTGGTGTGCCCTTGTGGTCCTGTGCGCTCCCTGTGCTTTTTCTACTTTTCTCCGTTCGTTTGGCTTAAGGGACTCTTTTTATGATTGCATGTTATTTCCTTCACTGTATTATCAGCTGTAGCTTTGCTCTTTGCTTTATGATGTAGAGTGTTCCTCTGCAGCATTGTCAGGTGATGGTGTGCCACCTCACCCTTGAGCACCTCTCTCTTCCTTCCTCAACATTGTGCCTTATAGACCTATATATTACTTTGACATATGCTATAAACTTTATTTTGTATTGATACTGTATCTGTTTTTAACAGTCAATCATATTTTGAAGAAGGTTCAATAACAAGAAAAAAACATATATTTATACACATAGTTTCCATTTCCACTACAATTCTTTCTTTTATGTTGGTCTCTATTTCCTTCTGACATTCATTTCCTCCCCTGCCTAAAGGAATTCCTTCATTTTTTTTTTCTCCCTTTTTGGTGCTGAGGATTGGGCCCAGGGCTTTGTGTATACCAGGCATGTGTTCTACCTCCTACCTCACCTGCAGCCCCCTTCAACATTTCTTATAGGACAGGTCGACTTGTGGTAATTTTTTTTCAACTTATCTGTCTGAGAAAGTCTTTATTTCACCTTCATATTGGAAAGATATTTCTACTGTCACAGAATTCTAAATAGAAAGGTTTTTTTTCTTTCAGTATTATAAAAAGATGTTGCTTCCTGTTTTGTAGGATTGCTTCCAAGGTGAAATCTCCAGTCACTCTATCTTTGTTTCTCCGTGTACAAGTTTCTTTAATCTCTTTCTTTATCAGTAGCTTTGAGCAGTTTGTTTATCATGTGCTTTGTGGTAGTAAATCCTCATGATTTTGTGCTTAGTGCTATTGTGATTCTTGAACTTGTGAGTTTATAGTTTTCATCAGATTTTTTGACATTTTCCTTCTTTTTTCTTTTATCTGGTGGTGCTTGGGATTGAACCCAGGACCTTGTGCATGCGAGGCAAGCACTCTACCAACTGAGCTACATCCCTGGCCCAAATCTGCAACATTTTTATCTATTGTATTTTCAGATGTTTTTCTTGTTTCCCTTACTTCCTCTCTTTCTGAAACTTCAGTTATTCATCTGTTCCTGAAGTTGTCTTATGATGCCTACTTAAAGCCTTCTCTGTGTTCAGATTCTATACTCTGTATTGCTGTTTCAGGTTCACTAACCTTTTCTTCTGCAGTGTCTAATCTGCCATTAATTATATCCAGTCCATGTTCCATCTCAGATCTGGATCCCTGTCTCTGTTTAACATTCTGAACATATGCAGTTATAATGACCTTTTAATGTTCTTCTCTGCCGATTCTAGCACTTGTGTGATTTCTGGGCCAGCTATAATGGATTATTCTCATTACAAATCACATTTTTCCACTTCTTTGCTGACTTAGTAATTTTTGTTTGGATGTCAGACATTGTCAGTTTTATATTTTGGGTACTGGATATTTTTGGATTCCTATGAATATGATTGAGCTTTCTTTTTGGAACACAAATAAGCTACTTGGAAGTACTTGAGCCCTTTGAGTCTTGTGTTAAGATCACAAGGATTTTGGGTTTTACTGGTAGAGTCAGGCAATATTCCCAACCATGTTTGAGCATCAAAAATTGTCATTTCTAATCCTTCCAGGTGGTTCTTTCCATGGCCTTAGGTAATTTCATCCCTTATCCATGTTGATCAATATTCAGCTGAATGCATCTTTCTCTCTCCAAGCCACTGTCTTCTGCAGTAGTCTGCTCTGTGAGATCCAGCAACCTTGGCCTCCCTAACTTCTCATCAGTGTGTCCTAATCTCAGGGAGTTCACCAGGCTCCACCTGGGTTCCACCTCCTGTGCCACAGCCTGGAAGTGGTCAAGGCAACATGGACAGGCAGTCATAGGGCTAACCTCATTTGCATCCCATATCTCAGGGGTCAGCACCCTGTTTCTGGTTGATTAGTGTCCTGAAGTCTGTTATTTAATTTACTTTGTCCATGTTTGGTTATTTCATGAAGGAGAGTAAATTCTATTGCTCCAATTTACCCCAAAAAGTTGAATAATACAGGTTGATTAAAGGTTTTTAAAAAGGAAAAGCACATGCACTAATAAAGTTTGAACTTTGAAGGACTTAAGATGTTCAGGAAAATTAATTCTAAATTTTTCTACCCTGTTTTGATTTAGAATGTTTTAAAGGTTGTCTTTAAAAGACAAAAGCTCTTGTAAGTTGTACATGCAGCAGCAGCTTCATGAAAACAACTAGCAGTGTGACTATTTTCTATGCAGTTTAGCTCATCTG